TATGACACTGTCCCATTCCACACTAAGGTCTGAATTACTTACCCTAGCTATCACTTCATCATAATTAATTGACCCATCACTTTTTTCACAGGCAACACCCACGCTCCGTTGTAGGCAATTTGGAAAAGCCTTGCTCTTAAACTGTCGACTACTGGGCCCCTTACCCTAGCCTCGGTGAAACAGCATAAAGAAATGTCGTTAATCGTAGACGGCATTGACGGCAGACTGCAAGTTCTATCGTTGAGAGTCCGATCCACGACAACAATGTAAATAGGCGACAAGAAATAGTCTACAAAGTTGCACAAAGTTGGTGATCGCGTCGGCATTGCTGATTTGTGTTTTAAGAACGTAATTTCGTCTTGGAACTGGTGTGTAAAGTCTTAGTTTGGCCGCTGTGTCAACGCAAGGTTAGGTTTGCTGTGCTATAACAGTGGAAATGGCCACTCCTTCGGATGCAAGCAAGTTAGTTCAATTATTTTTGTGTTCTTTCGCCTACCGGCGCTGTATTGTTTGCTAATTAGTCATGTATTGCTGTTTGATTCAGCATCACTCACATGTGTCTGGAGGCCCTGTTGTCCAACAATCATGAGCAGCATCTGGATCGCATTCTAGGAGAGATGTTGGGTTCAAATTGCCTGCCTAGCAGTTGCCCTTTGATGCAATCAAGAGAGTGTGATTTGGCATTTAACGTTGTGCGAATTGTGGTCAGTGGGCAGAGCCAACCTCAGAAGGAAACCCTTTTCTTCTGTGCTCGTTCGACTTGGCCTTTACTTCGTGCATTGGTGCAAATGCTGTCCTTCGAAGGGTTCATTGTTTTTGGTGTGTGTCATGCGCGTTTGGAAGCAAATGGAAATGCAACTGTTACGCTAATTCATTCACAATCTCATGCCGCCAATAATGTTGGATGCCTTTGCCATAGGAATGGTTCAATATGGTAAGTGGTTCAGTTTGTGTTCAAGAATTTTCTGACATACAAGGGGTATGGGCTTCTCACCATTTGTATCTTGCCTTGTCGTATCCTGCAGGTTCCTACTACCCTCCAAATACAGCAGCCCATTCCAATTGCTTGTTGCCAGGAAATTTAATTTTAACGCGACTGAGATGCTGTGTAAATATTTTAAAGTGCTGGATGGTGTTTTGACATCAGATTCAAGACTGGTGAGTTTGCTCTATTTTAAGTTATACTATCAATGAAATTTCCTCCATCACATGTGCTTCTATTAAATTAACAATATCGTGTTGTGTCCGTAGGGTCTCCAAGGTAATCTGTATGCCTCAATGTTATTTGGATCAGATACAGTGTCCGAATTGCTCCTAGTTTCAGAGCACATGTGCCAGCTGTTAGGAAGGTATTGTTTTTATTTTATTATTTAATATTGAGACCTATCTACAACTACTTTGAGTTATGAAAGTGACTGTGGAAGTTTCATATGGTTGTCCTTTTTTCCCATCAGCGTTGCTCCAGAAGTAAGCGACATTGAAGATAATGGGATAGGAGCAATTTCAACCCACTCGATACCAATTGCACCTATGAGGTAATTTGCAGTTTCTGTCGTCTTGGTTCTTGTGTGTTACTTTAGTCTTTTACTCTGCTCACTCCTCTTCAGGTTGTTGATGTTGATCTTTCAATAATGAAGAGAGAAATTAAAAGTGAGGATGAAAAAAAAATTAAGATTCTAATTCCGGACCCTATGGGAAATTGCAGTAGCATTGAGCTGCTATGTGAGCAGTACTACAATGTTGTCAGGAGGAGAAGGTTTCAGCATCTGGGATCTGAGCCTAAGTTGGTAGTGCAGTGCCCAGGCTGTACTGCAGAGTTTAGAGGGCTTTCAAATCGGATCTGCCGCCTCGTTCAGCACATTCAGACTCATCATCCAGAGTTCCGTGAACAGTACATAAAAATAGTTTCAAAGCGGTACGGGCAACTGTTTGATATTATGAAGAGACGCATGAAGGTTTCAAGGTGAAACTTTGATCAGGGCTCTAGTTTTTATAGTTCACCATGGCTCCTTTTGTTTGTTTTTTAACAACGTGTTATCATTGATTTATATGTAATGAATTGAATATCACGAAAAGTGGTCATTAAGATGTCACAGTTGCAATATTTGTTCTTTATATGGGTGGTGCTCGCCCTTGAGTAGACTAATGTCTAGTCTCCTTTTTTAGATGAAATGTATCCAACTTTTCGAAATTTGTATGAATGGTAAATATTATAGAAATGAATTGTCAGAGTGCAATATGGTTTTTGGCCTCAATGAATTTATGAACTGTTTTATCTGTAAGTGTCTCTTTGTCTGACATGTCTAGTGTACTGCTGTGTATTTTCTTTGACTTTGCATTCACTGGTATGTGCTTTTTCTACCTGGTTTTCATTTTGATGTGAGGCCTTCTCGTACGCCTCTATGTTCAGCGTGGTCATCTGATCAGTCACCTGCAAAAGAACATCATACAAGTACATGCTTCTGTCTCATGTAATCCAACATGTTTGATTCGAGGGGGCACTCCGTGAATATGTGTACACCTCAACTTTTCACTTTTCCACTTTTATTCACTTCTTCACCGTTTTACAACGTTTACTTTATTTCTATGCCTATATCCCCTCTATTTTATTCATTTTTCATCTGATCAAGGCACGATAAGTCACTTTTGTCGACATTTTCTTTCAGTTTTCATCACTTTTAGTCAACTTTTTGTCACTTTCACTTTAACTTTTACAGAAATGTGTACACCTACTTTCTGTAGTGATTACCCCCTCGGTTTGATTGTTTTAGCATTACCTTTTCTTCAATGTGTGGTTGAGAAATCTGACAGTTGCTGTTCATTCTTAATATTGATTTACAGAATATGTCATCTTCGCCTTGAGGAATCGACTTTTTTAAATAGCATTCAAGAAGTTCAGGTCGAGTAGCAGCAATTAGTCTTTCTAGGTCCATGTGCACCTCCCCACCCCTAGTGAATAAAACCGGTTCCAAACATAGCAGTGTGAGAAATAGTTGACACAACAGAAATATTATTTCTGTATACTGATACTCTACTCACATGCAGGAGCATTTTGGGGCCACAATGCCAAAAGGGATCCAGGATAATGTTCCAAAATTGCATGCCTCTGCAATGTTGTACCCTATGTTTTTAAAAGAAGTTTAACTTTAGTGAAAGTCATGACTCAACAAACTAGTAAATGTTGGACTTTTCTAAGATATTATTAAGCTCAAATGCTCAAATTATATAATGGTCATCTACGTACCTGTATTCCAGCCCCAGTGTACTGCATTTGGAGCAACAACAATACTCTGGCCCTCTTCCTGAATAATCTACCAGCAAATATACAAGTAAGAAAGGCATTATAAGATTCATCTAGAAATAAAAACTCAAGTCATTTCAAAAACACAGTTCATAGTAGACAGCATGATTCCAAGAAAAGCCAAGATAGGAATAAAAACTAACCAAATTTTGGGTTGCCCAAAATGAAGATAATTCCAAGAATAGAGCGAAAAATCTTCAATGTGTGCTGTGAAAGAAAAAATGAATGTGAAAAATCAAGAGCCAAAAATAAGGCAGGATATAGTAGCAGCTACACTGATGAATTTTGAAACGTTGGTTGCATCACGTTTACCTTGGTCACACACTGCAGTGAACGTGGACTTTTTCTTGCAAACTGGCCTAGTCGGTTCCGCAAGTGTACCAAAGAAGTGCTCAGCTAGGGCTTCAGTACCATTCTGATTCAGGGTCGTGGTACTGCAAAAATGGAGAAAATACCATATTATTTACAATTGAATAGAAAACAGGACAAAGTTGACTGGTAATAAAGGAAACAAAATGGGATATCATTTGAATAATCCCACTTAAATCAAGTTGTACCTGTAGATAATATGGCTCTTGCTGTTACATGCTGCACAACTATAGTCCCTTTTCATTCAATATGTATTATCTCTTCAGACTTTCTTTGCGTAAGGCATTAACACATTTCTTGCAGAATAATGCATGTCCACATGGCTTTAAAAGGCAGCTGCCCTTGTATACCCTGCAGTGTCTGCACTCGTCTTTTGTAGTGAAAGCACCAGCATCAGATCCTGACAGTTCCGGGGGTAGTGTAGTCACAAACTCGGCTTGGGCCTTATCCTCAGCGGCTTCATTCTTCCTTGGGCGTCCAGGTCCTCCTAAACAAAAATTAAATGTCAGTCAAATGATGGGAACTTTGACAGTAGTTTGTTGAAAAGTCAACAAAGAGTGCCTTACGTTTTACAGTGCCGCTTGGATTGGCTGCCAATTTCTTTGGTGGTTGCGAAAGCTTGCGGCCTGAAATAAAAAAAATAATTGTAAAGCTCAGCGTGGGTTTAAATTTCATAAAGTAGGACAAAATTGAATCTTACTTTTCTGAGATGGTTGAAAATCGGAGTCTGATCCTGAGTCAGACTCAACATCCCACGGCTTTGGCTGAGCTTGTGAACTGTGGCCAAACATCGGAACTGTAAAGACAGTTGGAAAGAATCACGTTACACAAATGAAGTATAAGACTGGGGGACCAACTGCTTTCCAGGGGCATCACAGACATCCATGGGTGGTAGACTAATAATTAATATCTTAGGGGCAAATTACTCGAGCTGAGAGGGAATTCAAAGTAAGAAATAATTGAAACTCTTATTTATTTTTTAAATTATTGATTAAATGTGTTCTGATGCACATTATGACGTGGATCTCTATGTGGAGTGAGCAGGGATTTACTAATGAGGCAAATTCTACAATGCATCCAGGAACCCATACTAAAATGTGGTTTAGTCGAGCATTGAAGCAAAAATTGGTTCACGCAAAAAGTTAACATAAATTGTTAGCTGTGTTTTAAGACAAGCCCATCATTTTTAAAAGGGGCAATTAGATACAATGACTGACGAATTGCTTCACCTGAGTGACACTCACCTTGAGGTGGTGTTGGTTGGGGCGCCCACCCGTAAAACATGGGTTGTGGTCCACCCATGCCGTTGCAGGATCAAAGTTTTGGCCCAAAAATCCGCAGCTCTGGTGACTGACGCTCGACGCACGCACGCGCGCGGCGCCGCGCGTCGCTAACTTTACAGACCTTAGACGACACCTGCAGTGTCCCTGTCCTTTCTCCGACTTGGGTCCGGCCGACCCCGCTACTGGCGCTGGGTCCTCTCGTAGGCCTCCGGGGCCCCCGCCGGCCCCGCCTCATGTTCAACCCGAAGCTCCGCGTGGGGGTCGCCTCCGAGCTTCAGGGTCGACCCTAAGAGTGCCCCGCCCCACACCGCGGCGCAGTCCGGCTGCAGCTGCAACCGCGTGCCCCACTTGCGCCTCTTCGCCCCCACGTAGTACCCGACGTTCTGGTAACACGGGTGGGGGTGCAGCTGCGAGGGCCGTCAGAGCACCTAGAGCTTGCAGCACCCGTCCCCCGTGGGTGAAGTGACGGCATCGGTAAGCTTGCCTGCATTGGGAATCCAAGCATGCTCATGCATGAGCGTCGCAAACCTCGATTATTCATACAGGACGGCCAGTACATTTCTGCCAGGTCCTGACCGCATTTAATTTTACGGTTGGGCCGTATTAAATTTTACAGTTATGACCATAGTCAACACTTTCCGTGCGGGGCCCTTTTTAAGCGCATCTACCCACAGGCGAAGGGGTTTTTTTTTTTTTTCGAAAAAATATTTTTTGCTCTAAAACCTAATAAAATACTCGGTTAGGCCCTCGGCACTACAGGGAAAATTTGCACAATTGGGACCCGCCGCACGGAAGGGACTATTTTGCGGGTCCACGGGTGTGGACCCGTCTCACGGAAAGTGTTAATTTTACGGTCTAGTCTGAAACAGTTCGAACCGCATTTCTGAATACGGTCGGACTGTACCTAATTTTACGGTCCAGCGCGCTACAGTAACAAGGATCGTATGTAAAATTACGTTCTGGACTGTAAAATACACATGGTGGGTGGATCTTTACGCTGAGTCCAGTACAAATCGAGGTAGTTGGAAGGACCGTTTTGCAGACGTTGCCCGAAAACTGCACGGACTGCAACAGATCAGGCCGTACAATTAAATACAGTCCGACCGTGTTCTTAAATAGGGTCCAGAACTGTACAAAATCAGACCGTCTTGTTGCTGAGTTCTTCTCGGAGTTGGGGCCATACACATGAGGCGCGTATCAGCGCTTGCAATTCGGAGACCTAATCTAGGGACCGAAGTGTGAGGAAAGACAGTGCTGAGTTCGTGGATACAGAATGTGGCCTATTGTTATTGTAAGGTTATTCAAGCAACAGCCTGAATACTAATTTTGGTACCACCCCTTGTCCCCGGCAGACGCGCGCATCCACGAAGCCATGCTGGTGTGGCTTCCCCGCTGTCTTCACTGCTCTGCTGCACCCAAGGTGGTCCGGTCCGCTTCCGCGGGTCGTTCCCATCCACCAGCGCGCGCGGCGCTTTGTTCCTGTATGCTGGAGGGAAGTCCGGCTGCCGCTGCTCTCGCGGGCAGGGGTTGTCAGCGATTTTATATAAATAGGATACTCCTGACGTTGCGGCATTTTTCCACTGAAGTCAACGTGGTCTACTACCAAGACTATTTAGAATACATTACGTTACGGCCAGCAAAATTAGAAAAGAGTTCAGAATGTTGAATAAAGGTGTAAGTAAGTTGTGAAAATGATGTGTTGCATTAATAAAAGGAACTTTGTCTGTCTGTCTGTCCGCACGATAACTAGAAAACGAATTGAGCTAGCGACCTGAAATTTTCAGGGTCGTTTCCTACCATAAAGACGGACCGAGTTCTAAGATTAGCATTCTCGCTAAAAAAAATTGGATTTTTTAAAAAGAAAAAAACAACAGGTCCCAAAAAGGCCGTTGTTAAAAAATATCTTAATTACGGTTTCCTAAGGGGTAACTCATCAAAGTAGAGCCAGCGGGTTTCCGTCGTGCCCCCCTCCTTCCCGATCAAAAAATATAGCGAATCCGCGCTCTGCAGAAGTGGTGTCATTCGTTAAATCCGTGTTGTTTGGAGATCCCCGTTGACGTGTTCGGGGTGACGTTTTTGGTACACTCTGCGTCGAGATATGGTCGTGGCGCTATGGTTCCTGGACCAGGCTGCTACCTGCAACACCCCCGCGCGATTCCCCATCGTTGTTATCTGATAACTATGCGCAGGCTATAAGTAATCAGGGTGACAAAGAAGGCAAAGCGTGAATTTGTAGCTGGCTGGAAACACGTATTTATTGCATATTAAGCGCGATGTGTGCAGGGGCACACAAGCGGTGGCTGAGGACTTCAAGGCAGTGCTACATGGTGGTGGACAGCGTCAGATGGGCGAGAGCAATCACTAAAGGTGCAAGCGAAGCGCAGAGACGTGCACACACGCCTTCCTCCTCCACAGGTACATGCAACAGATACATCAAAGAAAAGGTTTAGTCACACTCACCCAAAATACACGCAAACACGTCCATCTTTAAGGCCGTAAGGTCCGGTGAATTTTCGTCGACAATACGAACACGGGGCCCCTGCCGTAGCAGCGGGTAGGCAAGCAAGCCGACGCGGCGGGCGGCGGGTCGCCTACGTGGGAGTCGCCCCTACCACCGTGACGCGCTTTTAAACACGCGGAATGTGCGCGCACAGACTCAGCACTTGCTGGTGGACACTTTGAAGTGTCACGTGTGGAGGGAAGGGAAGATGGACAAAGGAGATAAAAAGAGTTTAGAGGAAAAGATACGAGCATAATTACATCTTCTTCCTTTATTTCACTTAGTACTACACATCTACTACATCAGCAATCTTTAGGACAGATTGGAACACATTCTTTACAACAAGTAGGACAGAGAGAACTCGGCAGCACTCAATAAGCTCTGGTCCCATATGCTACACCCTAATCAACTCTTGGAAAACTTGCGCAAGAAAGACATCATTCAACAAGTACAAGCAAGAGATAAATCAACATTGCATAGTACACTATCTAAACCTACAACAATGAAGCAATTTGTTGAAGTGAAAATTTTGAAACATTTCCAAAATGGTACGACCTTAAAATAAACACACGAGCACAAAACGAATAGAACTAAGTACTAGAAACCTTCTCTTTTATCCCTGACGGTAAGGTCAGGGATACAAGAATGATACGTGCAACTGAGATATATCAGAAACACAGCTCTGCAGCAAATCGCAACTATTGCGTCCATGAAGCCAGATCAGCCAGGCAATTCAGGTTGTCTTCGTCCGAGGTGTGTGATGCAAGACATAATGCATGTTTGGGGTGCAAGCCTGGCCAATAAGAGAGAATGAAATTAAACAATTGCAGACTTTGCACAAAAAAGAGAGATTCATAATAATACAGACTAAACTTACCAATAACTTGCCAGCCTGATTTACAATGATTCACTGGTTTAATCGCAGCCTGTACCTGGTATGAAGAGGGCTACTAGGTACTGACATACACAGTTGCAGAGTCGAGGATGTAGAATAGAGCCATCTCCCATTTATTTTGAACGCTGTAATACAAAATCCATAGCAAGCAATGGGGAAACAAAACAGCCAAGACGAAAAGAGTTTACGTTGTTCCAACTGCATAATCAGACTCCGAAATACACAAAGGACACTTGAAACACAGCCTACTTAGCATGACGAGAGGCGTTGATGCGACTGGGTCCTCTGCACTCACCTTAGGAAAATGAATGGCTCATGAAACCATCACGTCATACGTAAACAACCTTAAACACCGTAAACATTTCTTCTGCATCTGCTAGCGGGCACGCACGGCATACCCGATTCGAAGTTTTCGACAACAGTTGACTCACGATATGAGAAATTTTACACCTAGCATCGCCACAGTCACGCATTGAAAGCGAGCATCCACAACAGTGCTTGTCGGTAGAGCAAATGATAAAAATTAAAAAAAAAAAATATTCCGAGTTATTTCGGAATAAATTACCAAGTTAATTT